ATGGATTGAACAAAAAGAAGCAGTGTTGGAAACGAATACGTTCAGTAATCAGCAATCGATGAGTGAAGTAGAAAAAGTGACTGGTAAAGAGACTGATAGTGATAAAAAAAGTGAAACGAATGTAAACGACCAAACAAACACCTGATTGATGTTATAAAATCAAACGGTCCTCAGCAAATAAAGTAATAAATTGTATCTTTTGTATGTTAAATTGAGTTTATTTATCTTTCCAGGTTGTTTAGAGCTGTAAACTATGAGCAAGGTTTCCATGTGTTAGGTTGATTGGTTTAAAAACCGTCAGTGCTTGAATGAACTGATCTTGAGATACCATACTTACTTAAAATAAACGGATTTCAAGGCTGTAATGTTAAGTATTTTACCAACGTAAAGAAGCCTTTTCAGTTCAGATCTTAGAATTGAAATGTTCCACATAACAACATTGTTTTCTTTCATAACAGCATAGTTTTACTCATAACAACACGGGTAACAGACCTATGAGGTTCGAGGATTAAGAGAGAAGAAGTAAAATTGTAATGATTCAAACTTCAACTAAACAGCTGTTCAGGCAAATTTAATTGTTGAGTGGTACAATTAGTGTTTGGTACAATGTTTCGTTGCATCACTGTTATTTTTAGAAAGCCTAGAATTAACGTAGGTTAAGTAGTGTACGCAACTCGCGTAAATGTTGTTAATGACACTCGTAGAAGTTTTTAAGGCACTTGCCAAGGCTTGTACCTTAAATTTTCTACTTGTGTTGTTAACACTATCTTTACTCAATCGTTGCGTAAACTACTAAGATTTAACATGATTTGTATTGCCCTTTTTTGAAGGATTAGAATACTTTGTAAATTTTGATTACTTGTAGCTCCATATACAACTCAATACCAAATGTAATAGGTGAGTTGATATGTGCGTGGTAAACCTTAAGCAATATCACAAGCAAACAAAACTTTGACAGATTTCTCAAGGCAAATAAACCCGAGAAAATTTTGTGTAATAATTTATCCGTATGGAGTGACTAGGATAATAAATTTTCATCAAGCAAAAAACCAAAAAATGTTGTTACCTTTACCTGAGTAATTTGGAGATCATTTACTGTACAGTTGAACCTCTATAAGACGAATTTCAAGGGGTATGGGAAAAATTCATACTATAGAGGTATTCTTAATAAAGAGGGTCGTTTTATCGAGGTTTAATGCTGCTGTTATTCTTCTCATAGAGGTTTCTCCTCGCTCCAAAGTTTCTCCAAACAATGACTGAGGAAGGAGGAGGGATGGGTGGGGGTTTCATGTTGAGACAAGCTTTTGTTTGTTTTGAAAACTACGTACTATGGAGGTTAAGATTATGATAAATTCGTCTTATAGAGGTCACGTTCGTCTTGTAGAGGTTTTGTGCTAAGAATATTCGTTGTATAGAGGCTAATCAGTCCTAGCCCATGTCACAAACAAATTCGTCTTATGGAGGTTTTTAACTTAATTACTACGTTGTATAGAGGTGTTTTTAGCATTGACCTATATGAAAGTGTCAAGGGGATTAAAAAAAATTCGTCTTATCGAGGAATTTGTTTTATCGAGGTTCGTACAAACGAGGTTCAACTGTAATACAAAATTCTGGATTTTTCTTTTGTGCTGTACTGAATGAAAATTGGTTTTATTGAGAAATAATTTATTGAAGTTTAAGTAGTTTTTTTATACATATATGGATTTGGGCCGACTCTTGTATTTTATTAAAACCTTTACCAGAAACTAACAAATTTGCATCATCAGCATATAGACACAATTTTGCCATATTATCTGCTAATGCTGTTGGCAGACCTTTAATATAACAAAGAAATAAAATTGGACCAAGAATTGAACCTTGAGGTACACCATATTTGATTCACCTCGAAGACGATTTTACATTCCTTAATTGGTTTAAATTATTTATATGATTTATTTCCACATAATGTAATCTGTTTTCAAGGTACTCACTAAAGGTAAGATTGAAACCAATTCAAAGCATTGTTTGTAAAACCAACATTTTTTTAAAATTGAAATTAATGTTGAATGACAGACACTATCAAAGGCTTTACTATAATATCCATAAACACTCCAACAGTGCTCTCACCCTTATCAATAGCATCAATAACTAAAGTTTCTATTAAATCAGTTGTTGCGGAGATAACAGATTTACCGAGCTAAGCCGTGTTGCTCAGTATCAAATAAGCTATTATTTTCTAAGAAATTCACTAGGCCTAAGCGTGAATGCATGACACGCTCATATATTTTTGATAAGCATGGTAAAGTTGATAATGGTCTGTAATTAGAAGACTCGTTATTGCTACCAGATTTATATAAAGTTTTAATTTTAGAGATTTATAATTTACTTAGAAATATTCCTGAAATGAAAGAAGAGTTGATTGAATGAGCCAATGGTTTAGATGAAACATCTTTAGCACTTTTTAAAACAGGCATTGGGATTTCTTTAAAGCCGGCGTGGCTATTCAGCTCTTCACCAGTTCACCTAGATGACTAACCAATATTGTAAACCTTGAAAAACGTACTACAACTTTTACAAAGCTTTTAATGAAGTTTAAATTTCATATTTCTCTAAGTAGGCTACTGGTTTTTAGGGGAAAAAAAACTATAAATACAAAAGTTTAAAACTAATCTATATATATATATATTATAAAAGAGGAAGTTTGTATGTTTGAACGTTAGCTCGGACACCGTTGGACCGATTGCCACGAAACTTGGTACATACGTGTAGAATTTCATGGAATAGGTTTATACACCAAAACACCATAAATATATTTAACATAATAAATTTAAACACCACCTCTTCACCACTCACCAGTTCACCTAGATCCTAGATGACTAACCAATATTGTAAACCTTGAAAAACGTACTACAACTTTTGTCTGAACCATATTTGCGTATCATTTCTAATTAAAAAAATATACAGACAACAATAAAATTGTGTACTCTGACACAAAGCTTTTAATGAAGTTTAAATTTCATATTTCTCTAAGTACTGGTTTTAGGGAAAAAAACTATAAATACAAAAGTTTAAAACTAATCTATATTTATAAAAGAGGAAGTTTCTATGTTTGAACGTTATGAGCTTGGACACCTTTGGACCGATTGCCACGAAACTTGGTACGTACGTGTAGAATTTCATGGAATAGGTTTATACACCATAAATTTCGTGATCCCCCCAATCGGCTCCGCCCCAGTGGCTGGAGTTTCCCCATTAACCTTATGGAGTTCCTTACCTGGTTAGTTGGGACCTTCTGAAGTTAACCTTATGAGTACTTATGTTTAAATGGAATTAAAGAATCTTAACCAAACAACTGAACATGTGGTTCAACTAAACAATTTGATTCTGAGATGTTCAAAAGAATTAAAAAGTGAATAGGTTTACCAACAGGGTGCAGCACTATTTTTTTTTTTTTTTATATTTATGACAACAGCTAATTTGCAACCAAAAGGTTGGTGAACGAACTTCAACCTGGAGGCGAGTTAGCGTAGCGAACGAGCTAAACCTGAAGGCAAGTGAGCGCAGCGAACGAGCTCCAACCTAAAGGTGAGTTAGCGTAGCAAACGAGCTCCAACCTAAAGGTGAGTGAGCGTAGCAAACGAACTTCAACCAGGACGTGGTTGAGCGATGCGAACAAGCTCATCTTGAAAATGAACGAGCATTTGACGTAAAACCACATTAGGACAGGACTACGTCTGTCGGGCCAGCTAGTCATAAATAAAACAAAACAAATTGCAAAATGATAGCTTACATAGTATTCAACTTATGATCAATTTAGTGATCCACTGCTTTCTAGGTTTAGCTGGGGGGGGGGGGGGAGCTCAAGGGGTAGAAGTGGGGACTTTTGGGAAAATACACCTCTCATAAGGTTCTATCACATATAAAAAATCCAGCTTTCCACCATTTAGTTGGGATAAAAACCTTTATTGACTGGGCTATAATGGTAATTAACTAATCTACAGTATATTCAAATACCAGTATCCTTTCCAACCCCCAGAAAAACAATTTAATAACTTGATGTCCAAACAGAATCATAGTATGAAAAATATTTAAGTATTGGGACCTTTGCAGCTGTTGGCTCCTCTTTAACTGCTTGAAAACTTGTAATATCAACCATCACAGATAGCTCAGAGGTAAGAGGTTCATAAGTTGAAGGTATCAACTATTTCACTGAAAAGTATTAAAGTATCCAGTTCAAGATCTGTCTGAGAAAAAATCTTTTATAGTTTTTTTTTTTCAAAACTTGTTTTTATGAACAATTTAATCAAAATACTCAACTGATAAATGTGCTTTTTAGACTAAATCTTTATTTTTATTATTTTGTTTATGTATGATATCCTGATGGGATATCCCAGGGATCAGGATTTGAGTGCACATAGAGATATCCCATGGAGTTCCCCAAGAAACTCTGAGGACTTTGAGGGATTTACAGAGGATATCCCCCATATCCCACTGGGATATCCCCAAGATATTTCAAGGATCTTTTGTGTTGTATAGGGACAGTGTGAAATAAACACGTCGCGGGTTAAGCATTTTATTCGGACATTGGTCAAAGTGAAATGCCAGACCGTGTTTTGGGTAAACTAGTTTACTGGTTGAGCAAATGGAAAATACCCACAACACGATGTGAGCAAAAGTGATTGCAACCACATCCGATAAAAACTTGCTTGGATCTGGATGATATCATTATTTCTTTGCGTACGTTTAGTTGCTCAGGTACATCCCCGTTGCAAATAAATTTATTTGGCGTCACCTGGAATTGGTTGAGAACTATTTGTCCAGAATTCCACTTTTTTGTACCAAGTAGTCATTGTTATTATTTATTATATACAATAACTGCTATTACAGTTCTAGGAACTAGTCGTCTCCGAAAAGTATATTATAATAACAAACCTAGAAATAGACTTAAACAATTTTTGAACCTTTAAGAGTTTATCAATTTGCATACTTTTATAACCTAATAAACCCCTATTTGTTTGTAGGAGGAAAATATTTCAAAACATATATCCAAAGTTGTCGGCTTCCAAGATGCCAAGTCTTTGCACAAAACCGCAAATATTTCAAACATCACTGAAAAACTGAGGACGGAAAACAAACTTTTCTCACAAAACAGTAGACTAAAGGTAAGTGATGTCATTGACAATTTAGCTTTAAGTTGCTAGTAATGTCTGTTACTAGTAATGCAGGTTGTTTTTTCAGCCATTTCCAATTATGAGATCTGGTATCTATATAGGTTTTTGTGTATATATATAGGGTGAGTGTTCTATACAGGGTGTTTTTTTTTTTTAAGTGTGCCACCATTGGGATCTCAGTAACTAATGATTTTACAGCAAACTTTAAATGGGGAACATTCCCTTGTTTTTAAAGAGGTTCAAAAATAATTGAATACAATTTTTCAAAATGGCCGCCATTTTCCAATATGGCGGCCAACTTTGAAATTTCTTTTGGAACATATATTTTATTTTATCGGATAGAACCTGCAATTTAAAAACTTTTTTATTTTTAACATTTTTTCGATAAACCCACTCGTTTAGGAGTTACAGCCTATGGAAAAATGACTTCCGGTGTACATTTTACATCATGTAGCTCCTAAACAAGTAGCTTTATAGCGAAAATGTGAAGAGTAAATAAGTCTTAAAATTGCATCCACATTCCAAAAAGACCATAAAACTCTTTAAAAATATTAATTTTACAATTTCAAAAATGGCGGCCATTTTCCAAAATGGTGGCAAACTTGAAAAGTGGAAAACTGTGTATTTTATGATCTTTATGGAATGTGGATGCAATTTTAAGACTTATTTGACTTATTTACTCTTCGAATTTTCGCTATAAACCTACTTGTTTAGGAGCTACATGATGTAAAATGTACACCGGAAGTCATTTTTCCATAGGCTGTAACTCCTAAACGAGTAGGTTTATCGAAAAAATTTCGAAAATAAAAAAGTTTTTAAATTGCATGATCTATCCGAAAACATGATAAAATATAGGGTGTTCCATAAGAAATTTCAAAGTTGACCGCCATATTGGAAAAGGCAGAGGATACACGTCCGGTAACCAGACGTGGATTAGACGTCCGGCAATTACTGTCATAACCTAACCTAACCAACCAAACTTGCTGATAATGAAAAAATCGAATTAAGGTTAAATTCTTTCTCTATAAAAAAATTATGAATGCCAAAAATTCTAATAAAAGATGTACAGTTAAGAATAAATGGTATTCAATGCAAACTCTTCGACAAAAAGTTAAAGTCATCAATGGGATTCGAACCCTGGACCTCATGCATATCAGCCGAGCACCTTATCCACTACACCACGACCACCGATGGCTGACCATTGTATTGTTGTGGTAAAGGCGTTCCAGGCTCCCGCAACCCCATGACGTCATTGCCGTACGCCTTATCCACGTCCGGTTACCGGACGCGTATCCTCTATGATTGGAAAATGGCGGCCATTTAGAAAAATTGTATTTAATTATTTTTTAACCTCTTTAAAAACAAGGGAATGTTCCCCATTTAAAGTTTGCTGTAAAATCATTAGTTACTGAGATCACAATGGTGGCACACTTAAAAAAAACACCCTGTATAGTTATTTGTGTACATTTCCTAATTTATCAACAATAAATTGCAGTTCACCAGGTTGGTGTAATTTTGGTTTTTTCATAATTTATTTACTTATGTCACTATTTTAAGAGCCAACACATTAGAATACCGGTACACATAATATAAAAAAAAAATATATAATAGTGCTGCAGGTAATAAGCCACTGGGGCAGAGCCCCAAGGAAATTTACTTTGTTTCTCTTTTTATGGCTCATCTACAGACCAAGACCTTTTTTTAGAAACCTCTACTAAGATTTTACACCCAGCTGTTCTCTCAAATTAGTGGAGACAAAAAACAAGTTTTTTCCTCCATAAGAAAAACTTAGGATGGGAATTTTAAAGGCCACTGGGGCAGGGCCCCACAGGAATTTATCCCGTTTCTCTTTTGATGGCTCATCTGCAGACTAAGACCTTTCTTTAGACACCTCTACCGAGTTTTTACGCCCAGCGGTTCTCTTAAATTAGCGGAGACAAAGATAAAAAGTTTCCAATAATTAATCAGATGATAACAAATGTAGGGGACACAAAAATTACCCTCTTTAATATACACTTTCTAGTTTGTATCTGAACAAAGAGAAATGGTCCTGTCAAGAAAATGAAATATAGAAAAATGTTGCAAAATCAAAGATACAAACTTTTTTCAATTTAGAACTGAATGTCACCCTACCAACCAAATCAATAAACCTCAGCAGTAAGGAGAAAACTCTTCTTGAATATCATTCCATCCAGTTGCCACAGCAACAATTTTGTTGTTTTTGTGTTATCATTTGCCCCTTGTCACTAAATATTCTTGTTAATGCATTTGGTTGTGAGATCCAACTTTCACTATTTATTTAAAGTTCATTATCATGGGTTATAACAGTTCACTAATTTGTGACATATGCAATGATAGTGATTGTTCATGGTATTTAAAAAAATACTATTGGAATTATTGGGTACGCCTAGTAGGTAGAAGATATTTTTATTGTTCTCTATATTCATAGTTCTTTATCATAAAATGACTTATTCACAAATGTGTTTGACTTATGTGTGTGACTTATTACACTAATTGTTAAATTTAGAAAATTTCTTTGGGAAAAAATGTGAATGTCATTATTTTATAGGTTGAAAGGGGAAAGCGAATTCCTGATTTGTGATTTGCTATAAGCTTTTGCAACTTTTGTGATAAATCTTTTGTTTGTCTCCTCCATGTTACCTGGCTTGTTAACTTGTGTGATCATTTTAGCGAATTTCCCATATAGGGAATAAGCTATTACCGTAGGTCTCATGGTTAAGACCTAGACCCGGGACCGATTTACTTTTTCATTTTGAGGTCCCCATAGGCCAAAAACACCATCCGTTCAAAAACTCATTTATATAAGTATATATATATAGGTATATATATATATTCATATATGTGTACGTTAGCGCGATAACTCAAGCAAAAATGATCCAATTTTTATTAAATTTGGTACAAACGTTTAAACCTACGTTTATTCTAACGAGTTTGCAAACCAGCATAATCGGACAATGGCAACAGGGGTTTATTGGTGTTTTTATGGGGTAAAAATGTATTTTTCCCATTTTTTACCCTAAAAACTTTAAATTTCTAAATTTCTCTCTAGACCATTTTGAAGAGCTTAAAAAAACAAATAATTTAGTATATTGAAGTGTTTTTGAATGTTCATTGACTATGGAGAAAAAAAAATTGTAAATTTAAAATTCCCATGTTATTCTTATGGAGAATAAATAAACTGTTGTAGTTTGCTTGTTTATGGATATATTTTAATCAAATTTGGCAATCTTCCCCGTAGCAGCAAACCTAACTAATCACTAAAACTAATGTAATTTAAATAGGAAAATAAATCTGAAAATGTATAGGGAATATTTTAGTAGAAAACAAACCGGGTAAATGGAAATTCGCTTAGTATGCAGGTTTGCTGTGACGGGGGTATTTTTAATTTGCATAAGCTGCAAGTTTTATGTAAAAATTATATCTCACAAAATATAAGACCTAGATGTATCTTATTCGGTAAGCAGATCCACGTAAAGTGTAATACATAGTAGTTAGATGTGCAATACGAAAGGGTTTTACAAAATGTGAAATTTAAAGGGGGTTTAGAGGGGGTCAAGGCAATATCCGCCAAAATTCCACTATGTAAGCCTTATATTTTGGTCTGTATAAGCTGAAACAATGCTTGGATCTTAAATCTGATGGGAAATTGCCAGTGTACGATTAAGCCATCTACTACTTTTGTATTTAAATTTCTTTTCTATCTCAAACGGCTTTCAGGTAAAATCAGTTTAAAAGTCAAACCTGTGAAAATTTACTTTTTCCTCATGTTTGCAGCTCAAAACAAGGCAGTTCCTATTAAACCATGACTACCAAACATTTTGTTCATTAAAAAACAGTATATTTTACATAATAAAAACACATGAATCAATAAACATAGGTTAAAAAAAACATATCGTAAAAGTGCTTAAGTACTATTACATTTTAGGAGTTAATAGCTCATGCTATTTCTTTGGAAATGTATACCAAATAAAACCTGTAACCTTAAAACAAAATGAAATTGGAATTTTTCTATTCTAAAACTATATTTTAGCATTAACTAGCTGGCCCGACAGACGTCGTCCTGTCCTATTGTTGTTTTATGTCACATGCTCGTTCATTTTCAAGATGAGCTCGTTCGCATGAATCAATCACGTCCTGGTTGAAGTTCGTTCGCTACGCTCACTCACCTTTAGGTTGGAGCTCGTTCGCTGCACTCACTTGCCTTCAGGTTAGCTCGTTCGCTACGCTAACTCGCCTCAAGGTTGAAGTTCGTTCGCTACGCTCACTCACCTTTTGGTTGCAAATTAATAGTTCTCATAAATTAAAAATAAATATAGTGCTGCACCCTGTTGGTAAACCTATTAACTTTTTAATGCTATTGAGCATCACAGAATCAAATTGTTTAGTTGCACCAGCTGTTAAGATTCTTTAATTCCATTTAAATATGAGTACTCATAAGGTTAACATGGGAAACTCCAGAGCCACTGGGGCAGAGCCCTATTGACGGATCTGCACCAAACTTCACACAAACCATCCTTGAATAATGCTTAATAATGCCTGAAAGTTTCATTACAATCTGTCGAGCGGTTTTGGAGTCCATAAAGGACAAACATACAAATATACAAACATACAAATATACAAACATACAAATATACAAACATACATTGGATTTTATATATATAGATTAATTAATACCATTTAGCCAAAAATTATTTGTAAAATGGTGGTAGTTGAGTGATCATAGTGCTCGCCTAGCGATCAAAAAGTCGTCGGAACGATCCTGAGGGCTTTTTGATGGTTTGAAACTGGACCCAGCTGTTCTTGATCATAAGGCTTAAAATAAATTATCCTGTCTAATGAAACAGCTGATCATAGTAACAAAGCTACACAGATCATCTCACTCCATTCTACACCCATCAATCAATCAATGCAAAAGTTCATTTTAGCCTGTCGCTAAAAAGCCGGGCAAAGGCGGGTAACAGGTAGTAATGTACAAACATATGTGATAACTAAATAACCAACATATTCATTGTTGTTATATCACATTATTTGCCATTACAACGCATGACCAACAATCTGAATTTGCTTTATTTGACCAATGATTGTTGGTAGTTCATTCATGTAGTTTTAATGTCCTCAGGTTGTCAATTGCTACCGAGCTCTTACTGATGCCGACAGTTTGGATGATGCAGAAAGCAGTCTTACAATTGTTGACATAGAGAGCTTACCAGCCTCTGAACCTACAACTTCTACCTTGGCTGTTGTAAGTTGATAGGGATTCAATAAATATGTGTAATGCATGTAGCCTAAGTTTAGCTGGGATGGGTGAGGTGGTTAGTGTTTAAGACCAAGTGTTCCTTAACAATTTGTCCATCTGTGTGTCTATGTACTTTTTTAAAAACAATGTCTTTAATCTTTATGTACATTGGCAATCTTATCTTTTGCGTTCTTACCATATAGAAAACCACAGGTAAAACTACTATTTTGTACCATAAAAAAATTACTGAAACCATTTGGCTGATTGTTTGTCACATTATCTACTATTGTTTGAGATGAGGAAGCAGAACTTATTTTTATTTTTATACAACACAGTAATTTTTGCAGGATCCAGCTACAGATCCTCTCAAATATGTTTACGACATATATTATGCACCTGACTGCGACTTCGATGACAAGTTACTAGAAAATCCGATCAGGTAATACTGTGGTTTTGTCACAAGGTTTTAAGTAGTAATTTTAGAATATTAGTTTCTAGGGGTGGACGTACCATATTAGTTTTCAGGTGTAAATTTCTAGTAAAGCTAGAGTAATCAAATGATTGCTTGTTCAATTTATTTCTTGCCTTCAGAACTGTTCCAAGTAAAACAAGCTAATAGATGATACATTTCTATCAAACAGTTCTTATCAACAATACTAATTTTTTTGGGTTAAGTGTTAGCCTGAGATTTTTGGCTGAACCGAGTTTTAAAGAACATTTTTGACTGTGGCAAAATCGATATACTGCTATCACATATCATCACAGTTGTTTCAGGATTACCAGACGGGGTTTTTTTTTTTAATTTTTGAATGTTAAGAGTCTGTTACAGTCTGACAGTTCTCATACTTGCAGTGCAAATTGAATACATCATGAAGATGTCATATATTTATTATAGTCTCCAAAGACATTTTTTTTAACTTGAAACTTGTACAACATAACACTAACAGAATAGTCTATGTGCTTTCAATTAAACCTAAATCTGTATATTTCAGCTGCCATGCTCTTGATGACTTGGTATTTGAGGATTATGCCAAGGATTCTTGTGACATTGAAGAAGAATCAGACGACTCTAATGATGAGAACAACTGGCGCAATGACTATCCAGATGAAGATCCTGACAGGTTTGTTATGAAACATGTAATGACTTTTCCCATTACTTGTAGAAACAGTTTTCTAGTATTATTGGTTGATAAGAGGTTTGCATTCTTATAATCATCTTCCTAACTAACGCAATTTCTGAATCTGAATTTGTACCTTAACTGAACTTGCTCCGTCCAATATGAATCAAAACAGATCAATTAAAGTTTGATGGATGATATAATAATTATGATTATACTACTAGTTAAACTCTCATTCTTGTGTGGTTACAACTTGAAAGCATTCTAATGAGTTTATTTTTTCAGCATTGGAGAAGATGATATGAAATTGGCTTGTCAGATGGGTGGCTTGGATTTAAGTAAGTTAGTCTACTCTTAGTTATAATGTTGTATCATAACAAATTTTTATGAACTCCCCCATTTGTTTAGTTTATTTTGTTACTATAAGCTTTAACAGTACTTTGCAACAAGGTTTTTTTGTGTGTTTGTCTAGAATCTACCATTTATACCTTTTTTTCTAAGGGAATGGTCCAAACCCTGGCCTTGTTATTTAACATCACCTTTTTTTAGAAAGCTTTCTTATTAATTAACAGCCCAATGACAAATGGCATCTCGATTCAGAACCAATGTCGCTTGGAATCGAACTAGTGACCTTCAGATTGAAGGCAAACAAAATTTACCACTTGAACATCTACAATCTAACTAATTTTATATACCATGCCCTTGACTGTACTTTCCCTATCTTTTTGCTGGCAGCATATCACCTTAGGCTCAAAATACCACGTAGTCAGTCAAATTGTCATACCTCTCTTATTACCCCTAAGGTTATCAAGTTAACGGAAACCTGTGGTTGAGTGGACTTGTGTGGTTTCTGCGGTAATATTTTACTTGGTTGTCTACTTTTATGTATGTTTCAAAACAAAATAATTGTTTGATTTTAATGATGGTTATAGCTGGGAGGTTATAGTGCTCGTCTAATGATCAAAAGCAAAAGCTCACCGTATCGATTTTGAGAAAAGTTAGTAGCTTTTTGATGGTTCGGTAAGGCTTTTTAATGATCCTGAGTGATGTGTTTCTAGTAATTGAAAATATAAGGGTATATTTTTTCAAAGAGTCAATGTAAATATGTTGCTTATTCAGGTCAAACAAATTCACTATCGTCGGACGCTGGAGAGGAGGACTTGGTCTATGGAATGGATGACCACGACGGGGAGTATTTGAGTTACGACTACGCTTCCTATAAGAAACGAGTCGCCAGAGAACTGGACTCTGACGCGAGTGAAGACAGCGACTTTTATTACTGCGACAGCGATCTAGAGAGTAATAGGTCTTAGACTTCCTAATTACTATGTCTTAGATACTTTACTGTATTTACTTTTATTGTACATAGAAATAAATTAGTTTGGAAATCTATAATGACAAATTTGATACTATATACAAATTACAGTAAACTTTCATTTATCTTAATCCCATTTATACAGACTTCATAAACGTTTTATGCTGCCAAACTAGTTGACATCATTGTAAACTGTGTTGTTTGGTTGCATAACTAGGTAAGTTGGTAGCGAGGCACAATCCAAAACAAAGGCAGCGATGTTGCGGGATTGTGTCCGGACCCCACTAATATTTATCGTTGCAGTTGATTCTTGTACTGTCCCGACTCACCCCTGGCTTTCCTTGGTAGATTTCACACACAGCCCTGAGACCCATGTGGACAGGTGAATGTAGGGTTAAAAGGGGTCGTGAACCTGTAGCGTCAGCTGATGACGTTGTCATAGCAACGCATTAAGTTAGTCTGATCTTTGTTTTTCTACAGGAATGTACACACAATTTAACTCTTATTAAAATACTTTTCTATTACTTATTTGGTCATAATTTTATTCTATGTACACGAACAACCACGACCAAAATGGTGACCCCGACTACAACCGTTATCTAAATACTTATTTTCTTTGAAGAGTTTAAATCTTTTGTGTTTCCTCCTTCGAACGATGTCATTAGAAGACCTGCAGACTCAACTCGCCGAACTAAGAACTGCGAATGAAGAACTGCGTCAACGGATTGGACAACCCAGCACTTCTCAAAACATGTCGGTGAACAGAGTAGCCGTCAAACTTCCGCCCTTTTGGCCTGAAAGACCAAGTCTGTGGTTCTGTCAAGTTGACTCGCAATTTCTTATATCTGGAATTACCAACGACGACACCAAGTTTCACTACGTGGTCTCGCAATTGGACACAGGAATTGCTGCTGAAGTCGAAGACATCATAACAAACCCTCCTCAAGGCGACAAATACGGACATCTAAAAAAGAAACTGATTGAACGCCTCTCTGCATCCGAAGAGCAACGTGTGCGGCGGCTGCTGAGTGAAGAGGACCTTGGAGACCGCAAGCCTTCTCAGTTTTTGAGGCATCTTAGGTCTCTTGCGGGCTCGACTCCCCTTCAAGACAACATGCTTCGTCAACTGTGGCTCAGACGACTCCCTCCTCATTCACAAGCCATATTGACTACGCAACTTGAGCTCTCCTTGGACAAACTGGCAGAACTGGCTGATAAGATCATGGAGGTAGCTGACATTCCTTCAACACCTGGTATTTGTGAAGTCTCTTCAGGTAACACTTCTTTATTAAGTGCAATAGAATCCCTCTCTAAACAAGTTCAAGCATTATCAGAAACCAGAGTACGAGATACACAGGTGAGACCTAGGGGTCGTTCCCAGTCTCGTGGTGGATCAGGAAACGAACCTAATCCCTCTAAGAACTGGTGCTGGTACCATAGAAAATTCAAAAACAATGCTACCAAATGTCTTTCTCCGTGCTCTTTTCAGGGAAACCTCAGCAACAATCCGTAGAGGCCGCAACGGATTGTTCAAATGCTGGCGGCCGTCTCTTTGTGATGGACAGAAATTCACGAACTAGGTTCCTTATCGACACCGGGTCTGATGTGTCGTGTTTTCCTAAACGCCTTATCAAATATAAACGTTTTCCTACTAGCTATTCACTAAGTGCTGCCAATAACAGTGAAATAAAGACTTATGGTACCATGCCTCTCACCCTTAATTTAGGCCTTAGACGTAATTTCCCTTGGAGTCTAGTGGTAGCGGATGTTTCAATACCTATATTAGGTTCAGACTTCCTTTCACACTATCACTTATTACCCGATTGCAAAATGAAATGTTTGGTTGACAAGAAAACGGGATTGAATGCCGAGGGAATAGTTTCTAACAACAATCAAACTAGTATTAAAGTTATATCTTTCTCTTCGCCATTGGCAGAAGTTTTTTCTGAATTCCCTGATATTATTCGTCCTCCAGGCTTACCTCGTGCTGTGAAACATAAAACAGTTCATCATATAAATGTTACACCTGGTCCTCCTGTTCACTGTCGACCACGTCGCTTACATCCTCAAAAATTGAAAGCTGCCCGGAAAGAATTTGAGGAGATGGTTAAGCTTGGTATTGCTCGACCCTCTGAAAGCCCCTGGTCCTCACCTTTGCACATGGTGCCTAAAGGTGAAAATGGATGGCGTCCTTGCGGTGATTACCGCGCTTTAAATGCTCGTACTGTTCCTGACAGATACCCTGTACCACATATTCAGGATTTCTCGTTCAATTTAGCAGGCTGTACGCATTTCTCTGCCATTGATTTGACCAAGGCTTACCACCAAATTCCCGTCCACGAAGATGACATCCAAAAAACAGCAATCACCACTCCATTTGGTTTGTTTGAATTTCCATTCATGACTTTTGGCTTACGCAACGCGGGTCAAACATTTCAAAGATTCATAGATGAAGTTATTCACGGCCTTGATTTTTGTTATGCATATATTGACGACATTTTAGTATTTTCCCAGTCTGAAGAAATACATAAAGAACACCTAAGAATGTTGTTTGAACGACTTTCTGACTATGGAGTAGTTGTAAATCCATCTAAATGTGTAATTGGTGTACCAGAAGTTAAATTTTTAGGTTACTTAGTCTCATCTGCTGGGACACGTCCACCTCAGGAGAGAGTCACTGCTCTACAAGACTACCAGTTACCTCAGACAATGCGTGGTCTTCGCAGATTCTTGGGAATTATGAACTTTTATCGTAGGTTTCTGCCAAAGGCCGCTGAATTTCAAGCACCTCTGCACTCCCTACTTAGTGACGCTGATTCAAAAGGTTCCCTCCCTGTGCCCTGGACTCCAGAGACAGAAGAAGCTTTCCAAGCATGCAAGGCTAGCTTATCATCAGCAACACTATTGTTTCATCCTAAACCTGATGCTCCTCTTGGTCTCTTTACAGACGCCTCTGGAGTAAGTGTAGGTGCTTGCCTCCAACAGTTTGGTTTTGATGTTTATTTGTTTTCACGTCCAGTGCCTTTGGATGACTGAGATCTGTCATCGCATGCTGATTGGTTCCTGGAATCTGGAACCCAATTTCAGCTGTCTCTAGTAGACATTTCTGAATTTCGATATGACTAATCAAAGTCATTTTAAACTTAATTGAGGTATAATTAATAATATACATAGTCTCTGTGAAATCTTGAAAAGTAGGGCACTCTTGACATTGTGGATTGCTAAATTCTTCCACTGTCACACAGAGTTTGTAAAAGCGAGTCGAACGCTCGTACTGCCCAGTGAATGCTGGAATCTCGTAATGAACACGTTCCACGCAAATCACATTTACTGTTGTCTGGTAGTGGTCTTCGGACCTATCTACCACTGAAGAGACTAAACAAAGTCGAAACAACAGAGCACACTTCTATCCTTAAAGGCGGATAGTCGTATTTGACTTAGCGCAGGCTCAATCAAATTTTGAATCCTCAAACCACACACTACACATGGATCGGTCACACCCGAGACGGTATGTGTGACGATTCCGATGCTCGGAGAGGTCGGGATTTGGTATTGAGATTTAAAAGATACATTCTGAGTGAATGTAATTCTTAAATTGGCAAGGGGTTCGTCCCCATTTACCTTCTAAAATGATAACCTGTAATTGAGCGCTAGTCAGAACGGGAACAATATCACGCGTATCCGGGTTAAAAGACGTAGGGCAACGCTGATCTTAATTGCAGCTATCAACCACATAAAGCTTAACGCTGTGGGAACCCTCACGATCGCCGGTCAGGCAGATGCCGCCATACACGAATTGTGTCCACGAGCCTAAACGTGCTTCTGTTTGATGATATCAGTGATTCTAAATTGCAGTCTGATTGATAAGACTGACCAGCTCCGCTGGATTTGCAACTACATCACCTGTCACAATCACTTTAACCAATTAATAATTTTGAGTGACTTGTAACATTAGGTGCAAGTGTTTGGCTTCGCAACCTTCTAAAATTCTAAATTAATTTTGCAGGTTAGATGTATTGGTCACGAAACTCGTTCTTGGGGTTATACGTGCGAAAAGACGCCCTAGTGGCGGAATCACTCTTGCAACGTAAAAGGTGCGATTATACGCATAACGATATCATCTGTTTCGGTCTCAGGGCTAGATAGCCCATACCTCATCAGGTGCACACTTTAGTGCACGACAGATTGAATTATAATGTGTTGAGGACGGATTAAATTTTTCATCGTCCAACTGAAATTTTGAATTTTGATGTTTCTAAATTTTGAAAAGATGAAATTGTCAACTTAGAGTTGACCAGGCACACCTGAGTATTTACTCATTGTTCTTAAATTATTGTGGACGGACTCATCAGTTTTGATGTTTATTTGTTTTCACGTCCAGTGCCTTTGGATGACTGAGATCTGTCATCGCATGCTGATTGGTTCCTGGAATCTGGAACCCAATTTCAGCTGTCTCTAGTAGACATTTCTGAATTTCGATATGACTAATCAAAGTCATTTTAAACTTAATTGAGGTATAATTAATAATATACATAGTCTCTGTGAAATCTTGAAAAGTAGGGCACTCTTGACATTGTGGATTGCTAAATTCTTCCACTGTCACACAGAGTTTGTAAAAGCGAGTCGAACGCTCGTACTGCCCAGTGAATGCTGGAATCTCGTAATGAACACGTTCCACGCAAATCACATTTACTGTTGTCTGGTAGTGGTCTTCATTTAAGAACAATGAGTCCAACAGTTTGTCGATGACTCTTGGCAACCACTAGGTTTTTTCTCCAAGAAACTATCATCCAAACAGTGCATCTGGCCTGCATACTACAGAGAACTCCTCGCTATTTATGAAGCTGTGCAGCATTTCCGTCATCTCTTGGAAACAACTTCTTTCACTATATTCACAGATCATAAACCACTTATTTATGCCTTTCAGCGCCTCCAGCTCAGTTACGCCAACTTTCATTTATCTCTGAGTTTTCGACAGACATAAAGCACATCAGTGGTTCACAAAATATAGTTGCTGATGCTTTGTCACGTGTTGAAGCCATTTCAACTGTTTTAGATCATGAATCCTTAGCCAAGTCACAAGAGTCAGACGAAGAACTTCAAAATCTCATTTCAGAAAGTACTACATCTCTTAGATTGGAGAAAGTTCCGATTCCTGGAACCCATTTGAGCCTTATCTGTGACACCTCAACAGGAACTCCTAGACCCTTTGTGCCATCAGAACTGCGACGTAGAGTTTTCGACCAGTTCCACAAGCTGAGTCATCCTGGAATACGTGCCACAACAAAACTTATCTGCGATCGTTTTGTCTGGCCTTCCATTCGTAAGGATTGCCACAAATGGACTCAATCTTGCCTCTCATGCCAAAGATCTAAGATAACTAGACATGTTT